CGAAAAGACAAAATTGAGAGCACCCAGCCTGAAAGAAAAGCAGAGTTTCTTCTACTCGATCTTCTGTCAAAATTTCAGTGTGCCTTGATGTCTGTTTGGCCAGATTTTGGGACAAGCAAAGACAAGAGAACGCAGTTGAAGCTTTGTCAAAAAAAGTCGAGGGCGACTCTTACAAGTCGTTCTGGTCATGATGAGAGGTCAGTGTGATTGTTTTTTTCAATTAGCAGGAAATGCAAAAACATGGGTTTTTCTTTCTGAACTTTGGATAAATCGATAAAAAACTGGAAAAAAGCCAGAGTCGTGAAACTTAGACAATTTTCTTCAGATTTAGCAGCAGATTCAGACACAGCAACACTTTTTGTTTTTTTTTTTTCAGTTCAAATTGCCTTCGCCCGTGTGAACAGAATTGTTCTTTTGCTTTTGTTCAATGTTTTCTCTGTTTTTTGTCGGGATGATCTCTCGGTTGAGTTGCAAGCCTTTGGAAAGAGAGGGTTTCGAGAAACCGTCCTGAACCAAAAAAAAGACAAACAGATAAAACATTGCAATTGGAACTTAAAGACATCACATGTTGTGGTTTCGGCTGTTTTTTCCTTAGTGTACATGTGCAAGTGTTGTGATGTGTGTGTGTGTGTAAGCATTGTTGTTTGCAAAGTGGTTTGGAGTGTGCAGGAAGTGTCCAGTGTGTGGGCAAGGGTGTAAGGCATGGAGTCCTCAGAAGTACCCCAAATAAAAACACAGTGACCTTGCAGTGGTGTCTGTGTGTGTGTACCTCGTTTTTTTTTTTCATTGTGAATGGGTGTGGTGTGTTGTGGTTTCGGCGTTTTGGCCGAGTCGTGTGTGTCATGGAGTGTGGTGTGTGTCATTATGTGGTGCAAAGTGGCTTGAGTGGGTGGTATGCATTTGCGTGTATGTCGGCTGGGTTCTGCTGGTTGTGCGGGTGGTAAAAGGTGTGTGGATTTGGAGACACAAAAAGAGGGCAAGAAATCAACTCCAAAAGGTAGGAAGCCGAAGTGACCTCCACAGTGCGAGAAAGATCGCAGGCGAACAATGCAAGACTGCTTTGTCTTGAATGCCAGCTAAAGACAAGTTTAGCAAGCCAAGAACACGCACGGCGTTTTTGTTTTCTTAAGTGTTGATGCAAACAGTATCGAATAGAAAAAACTTGTTTGTCTGTGAGTTGATTAAAAATATTATTGACCCCAAATGGGTTCCAAAAGCAGCTCAATTCTGGGCACCGAAAACGGGCCTTAGATTTTGGATTTCCTGTGTGAACACACAAGGCCACCCAGGTTGAAGCCTCAAATTGGAACCCAAGTTTGGGAGCCATTTTTGGGCCCAGTTGCGGCGTTTTTTTCACACACGGGAAGCCAGATCTGGCTTTCACAGCTCCTCGTTGAGTAAAACAAATAAGCCTCTCAGTCGGTTCCAGTCTAAGTCTTGTGTCAGTCTTCCCCCAAAATTAGAACAGCAGGCAGCAAGGCGGCAAAGTGTGAACCGGAACTTTCTCTAACTGTGGAGCCTCTGACAGTGCCGTTTGGACAGAAATCAACTGCAGGACGAGACGAGTTTAACCGTGGTGTTGATTTGTCAAGGTTGCGCGCGACGCCCAAGCCAAACCGCTTGAAAATTGCAAAGTGTATTTCCAGAATGTGAATAAGTGCGAGCGAAGCGAGCGAAACACCAGAGTAAATTCAACAAATTTAACTGATCAAGTGTTGATTTTGAGGGTTTTTTCACATTTTTGGAGACTTCAGAAATTTTGAAAATTCGTTGAATGGTGCTGAATCCAGGGAAGAATTGCAACACGCAACCAAAACGAAAGACAAAGAATTGAGGGCACCCAGCCTGAAAGAAAAGCAGAGTTTCTTCTGCTCGATCTTCTGTCAAATTTCAGTGTGCCTTGATGTCTGTTTGGCCATTTTGGGACAAGCAAAGACAAGAGAACGCAGTTGAAGCTTTGTCAAAAAAAGTCGAATGGAATGGAAATCGAGGCTGGGCGACTCTTACAAGTCGTTCTGGCCATGATGAGAGGTCAGTGTGATTGTTTTTTTCAATGTTAGCAGGAACTGCAAAAACATGGGTTTTTCTTTCTGAACTTTGGATAAATCGATAAAAAACTGGAAAAAAGCCAGAGTCGTGAAACTTAGACAATTTTCTTCAGATTTAGCAGCAGATTCAGACACAGCAACACTTTTTGTTTTTTTTTTTCAGTTCAAATTGCCTTCGCCCGTGTGAACAGAATTGTTCTTTTGCTTTTGTTCAATGTTTTCTCTGTTTTTTGTCGGGATGATCTCTCGGTTGAGTTGCAAGCCTTTGGAAAGAGAGGGTTTCGAGAAACCGTCCTGAACCAAAAAAAAGACAAACAGATAAAACATTGCAATTGGAACTTAAAGACATCACATGTTGTGGTTTCGGCTGTTTTTCTGAGTGTACATGTGCAGAGTGTTGTGGATGTGTGTGTGTGTGTGTGTAAGCATTTGTGGTTGCAAAGTGGGTTGGAGTGTGCAGGAAAGTGTCAGTGTGTGGGCAAAGGGTGGTAAGGCATGGAGTCTCAGAAGTACACCAAATAAAAAAACAGTGACCTTGCAGTGGTGTCTGTGTGTGTTTACCTCGTTTTTTTTTTTCATTGTGAATGGGTGTGGTGTGTTGTGGTTTCGGCGTTTTGGCCGAGTCGTGTGTGTCATGGAGTGTGGTGTGTGTCATTATGTGGTGCAAAGTGGCTTGAGTGGGTGGTATGCATTTGCGTGTATGTCGGCTGGGTTCTGCTGGTTGTGCGGGTGGTAAAAGGTGTGTGGATTTGGAGACACAAAAAGAGG